TGGCTCTCCTGTCCACTTACTGATGGTGATGAAAAGGCTTTTAATTTGCTGATGAGTCAAAACTGAGTGTAAATACGAAATACTCCAATGGGGAAATTCAACTTCTTTCTCTTCCTGATGGTAAGCAAAGAAGAGATGTTGTAAATCTCTGGGGGAAAAGAGATATATTAGATAATACTGACAACAGCCTTATCTCCTCATTCAGGCCACCATGAAACCCTGTATGCATGGCACTGCTGTTTTTCTATCTCTGGGATGTGTGTGTGTGTGTGTGTGTGTGTGTGTGTGTGTTTTCCCTGATTTTAGATGAATGAGTGTATGAGAAAAAATGGACTAGGGAGGAGCCAGTCTTGAGGAATGTTCTGCTTGATCCAATTCAGCAACAAATAAATATGGCTGCCCTGAAAGTAAGGAAGTGACGCGTCCATCAGCTATTCTATACCACAAAGTGAATCTGTAGGAGGAATATTTTGTAGCATCTACTTTAAGGCTATGCATACAGAACTTAGGCATAGAGGGGAGAGGGTACCCTAGTTTGGAGGGATGTTTTGGTATTTTGGTTCTTGCTATATATTTTTAGTAAATGTCCCTTTGCAAAAACTAATGATGTTAATTAGTTATCAATGATGTTGAAGAAATCAATTATTCAAAATAATACTGGGATGCTAGTTGCTGGTTGGATCATATTGAAAATATAACTTGATGACTGATGTTGGAAGGGGATATACTGAATGGGTGCTCAAGGATGATGGTGTCAGAACAATATCCCCAAGGCCCCAGAATTCTGATGAGATCAAGAAACCATTCTCTGGGGTTGTGAACTGCCAGTGTAAATATGGGTTGGGAGAATGAGCCTGGAGCCCAAAGAAGTGCTGCAAATATTTCTACTATAATACAGTACCAGTAGCGTGCAGACTGAATGAGAGAAGGATATAAGACTGCAGATCTACTTTTGTACTCATACACTTGGTTATGATATTCTAACGCCCCTAGACCCCCATTTCTCACCAAACTAGCTATCACACATATGTATGCTTGTTTTCTTTTCCCTGTGAAATATTCTATTATTATATTCCAGGAAGTTTTTTTCTTCCTGTCAAAAGGTTAAGGTTACTACTCTCTTAGCTGAGTTGTTCTCCACCTGTGAGGATAATAATTATTAGTTTCCTGGCAGGCATAATTACAGTCTAAAACAAAGTTCCTGAGTGGTCCAAGTCACCATTTCAATAGCTCTTATTTAGTTTTAATGCTCATCTTAAGGATGGAGAACAAATGGATATTGCTTTATTTTCCATAATAAAAAAGCTTAATCTACTTTTTACCTTAACTAATTTCAGTAGCCGATAAAAGCAATATTTCATTTTATTTCTTGAATAACAAAATGATAATGAAAGAACTACACAGTTGGGAAAGATTTCAAGAGGTCATCCAGCCCAATGTCTAACAGTTATGGTCTTCAAATATCCAAGACAGATCATTGTCAATCCTGTTTTTAAAGCTCTCCATAGGCACATCTTCCCAAAGACTAATCTAACTTCTGCATGTGTCAAAAGCATTACTACTATAACCAAAAGCAATTTTAGTTGAATATTATCTGGTAATTCGACATTTGTATTGTAACATGTAATTTTGAAAATTAACTCATTTTTACATGCCTTTATAATAGATGTCTCCCACTACCCCCATGAAACAACAACAACAAAAACAAAACAAAAAAAACCCTCTCATCATAAAGATGCATAGTCCAGCAAAACAAATTCCCACATTTGCCGTGCCAGAAAAATGCTTATCTCTTTCTGCATTTCATGTTCATCTTTTCTCCAGAAGGAGGTGAGTAGCATGTGTTATCTCCAGTCTTCTGTATCATTTATCATTGCATTGATTAGAGTTCTCAAGTCTTACAACAAAGATGTCATTGTGTAAACTACTGTCCCAATTCTCCTCATTTCACTACAATAAATAAGAAGTCTTCTTGGTTTCTTCTGAAATTGTCCATTTTGTCATTTCTTATGGCACAATAATATTCTATTACACTCATATTCTATAATTTGTTTCACCATTCTCCAATAGGACAGCCCCTTGGTTTCCAATTTTTGACTATCACAAAAAAGAACTACTATAATATTTTTGTACACATGGGTCCTTTTCTTCCTTTTTTGATTTCCTTGTGATACAAAACCTAGTGGTGGTAGAGCTATGCCAAAAAGTATGTATAATTTAGTTGCTTTGGAGAAATAACTCTAAATTCCTTTTCAGAATGGCTGGAACAATTCACAGGTCCACCAAATGCATCAATGTGTCTTTTTTTTTCTCCATAGCCTTTCCAACAATTGTCACTATCCTCTTTTTTCTTCTTTGCCAGTCTGATAGATGTGGTTATGGTTGCTTTAATTTGCATTTCTCTTTATTAGTGATTTAAAGAGTTTAAAATCTTAATAGTATTTTATTTTTTCCCAATTACATGTCAAGATACTTGTTGTTGTTAGATATGACAGACCTTTGGAGAAAACGGAATGGGAACAGAAAGGAACATCCCTTTTTCTTAGCAGCACATGGCACCTACACAAAAGTCAACCCTAAATGGGGTCATAAAGAGTTGGACATAACTAAAACAACTCAAAAACCATAAACTGTTGAAAATACCCTAAGTATCTGCAAGTATGCCATAATCCATGTTATTTTCTTATTGCATAGAGAAACAAATAGAGATAGTCTCAAAGTGGTTAAGTAAAACAACAGCAATAACAACAAGTGCGACACTGGACTTTGTGCTAGGAGACCTGACCTGGAGTTTTAAATTCAACATTTATTAATTGTGAGACTATGGAAAGTATTTAACACTTGTACTACCTATTATCACAGAACAGTTAAATAAATTAACAAAAATCATTTATTAGTCATTTACTTTGTCCCTGGCACTATGCTAAATGCTAGAGATAAAAATAAAAAGTGATACAGGCCCTGTACTTAAGATGTTTATACTCTAATATGGAAAGACCACACATATAGGGACTTGGTGACCAGGAAAGGCCATCTGGGAAATCACAGGAAACATGAGTGGAGTGGTGAATTGACCTATCATTTCCAGAAACAAAGGTAGTACTTATTTTATCACTGTTCCCAGGGCCAAAAATGGATGGAAAGGAGGATGTTTGTAACAGGAGGGGCATGGCCAACTTCCATGATAAAGGAGCCTCACACCTCTGACTTAGCCATGTAAATACTGACTCATTCTCTGAGTTGCTCACTCATTCTAACTTGTAGGTCTAGGTTTCCAGAGATACACCATCACTACAAAATTATACTGAAAATCTCAAAACGTTATAGGGACAACCCTATTGAGGGGAAACATACTCTCTCCACTCACCACTATACCTCTTGAACCCCCATCTATGCTTTATTTTTGCACAACCAGCTACTCACAATGTAATGCACATAGATAAAAAAACCCATATTTACAAAACAAAAAAAAACAATAGTGACAATTTTGGATCTTAAAAATAAGCATTTATTTAACAATAATGCAAAAGAAATAACACCATAGATGATCATACATTAAAACAAGTGCATACATAATAAAATGTATCACAATCCCAATATATCATTGTCACTAAAGCACTTGGCCAATGAAATCAGTTCTCTCTTCTATTGCTCAGGAATCACTTAGCTAAGCCTTCTGTCAGCTGCTTACTTTTAGCTGCCATAACTCCAACAGAGCAGTTTTTCAGGGACCTGCTGGGTTTTCAATTCTCCTTCTCATGTTCCCTTATCATGTTTCTCCCTATCTTCAAAGGCTAAAATGAGAGCCTTTTGACTCTCAATCACTCACCCTTCACTTAAAAAGGTAACAATTTTCTATATTTCCTCAAAGAAAATCAACAGCCCTTTTAAAATCATACCTTAATATCTAAATACTTTTGATTTTTTTCTTTCTCTCTTTTAAACTATCCTCTTGAGTCATTAAATAGTAATATGCCAATGAGCTGACACACAGTTCTAATGTTCTAAGGTCACCATCTGGTTCTACATCTCCTTTTGTGTCCTTGAAACTGAGCTTCACATTCATATTTCTCTAGTTTTCAATAAATAAAAGTACTTTCTCTGCTTCTTTAAGACATCAAATGGTTCACACGCAAGCAAGGCATCATTACACATTTTTCACAAGGTGATTTGAGTCCTTATGTTTATTCTACAGGTAATTTTTGTTGCAAAACTGCTTGAATTCTGTCTGAAAGGTGTGTTTCTTCACACATCTATTTAAATATATATATATTTTAAAAATTATATCAAAATTCTTTTTATGCTCCTTTTAGGCATTGTAATGTTTATCTGTAACAGTGGCAGTATTCTACATCCTTTAACAGTTGATATATCTCTTTTCCTTCTTGTAAAATATGAACTGCTCCATATGAACTGAGAAGAATCTTGAAGAGATGATATATACACAAATAGCTTCAGAGAGGACAGCAAGAAGATGGCGGGGGGGGGGAGCGGTAAATATCTGAATGAGATATGAAACATGGCCTAATATAGGGGAGGCTAGATATAGTGTGCTCTGTGAATTGTGAGGAAAGTGTTTCATAAACTGGAAATCACTACATATACATACATACATACATATGTGTATATATATGTATATATATACATATTATATATATACATATATATACACAAGTTTAATCAATATTTAGGGGATTAGTACTTTAATTTCATTGATAGAGGGAACTCCCACAGAGCAATACACATGAGTCTGAAAGTATTAACTGGGGGGCACTCAGAGTTTGTGACTTGCCCAGGGTTACAAAACTGCTATATGTCAGAAGCGGAGCATGAATCTGAGGCTAGCTCCCTCTTCCCTGTGCCCTTATTCTGTTTTATAGTCATTTAAATAAAATTAACAACTTCAAGATAATAAAGGGGAAATCGCACTTGCCAAACCCCTCTCCCCTGTTGATAGCATATAAATATTATAATTAACTTAAGAAAAACAAACAACTTACCCCCTGTTGCTGACAATTGCCTTTTTCAAATGAATGTAGTTTGCAGGAAAGATCCCCTGCAAAACAGAAAAGTTTCACATCAGAAAAAATTACGTTGTTTTCCCCTCATCTTGACCAAACACATAAGCATTCAAATTGTCAACTTTCTACATAAAATAGCTTCTGTCCCCCTACTGTAACAGTTGCCTCCATAAGGCAATGCACAGGGAATATATGGACATCATCTATATGCTGTGTGGAAATTAAATACTAGTCAACAAGCAAATTATTTTCATCCCATGGCATTTCAGTCTTCAATGAAAGGGCACAGAAACAGCTTTGCAATGTTATGATTTTTCATCCTACAGGTACAGACTTCGGATCAGAGTTATAAAGTAAGGTGGGGCGACATGGGCTTTGCCCTCTCAAGTTTAGAGGTTACAGAGTCACATAGTAGTGTAGGAATCACAAAGGTTGGCACCTTGTTGATAATAATAATTAATTAAATAAGACGCTACCAGACATAAGACTGGGATGAAGCAAAGAAGCCGACGTGATAGTCAAGGGAAAGCATAGCTCTACAGAACTAGAGCTAAGTTAAAAAGCCAACAGCAATTAAGAGTACTACAGTACTACTGTGCTATGTTTGGGAAGAACTAGTTATTTTTCTGAATGCACCAGTCTTGGTAAGCAGACTCCAGACACCTGAATTCATGAATCAGATATCATTTAGATAAGGATGTTGCACAAAGGCATGGTTAGAATTCTTTTGACGTCAGATGCTGCTTTCTGGGATTCACAGATCATTAGAGCCATCTAATTGGAACGCTCTACTACTTCAGTAGAAACAAGGCCCATCTTGTAAGGCACATCAGTATCCATATCTCTCTTTATATACACAGAAAATAAAAATTATTTAACAATGATAGCCTAACCACACAAAACCAATCAACACACCAAATCCTTTCCCCAGAGTAGAACACTGATTAGGTTGGTTTTAAACAACTATCAAACTAGTATATTTTTAAACCTCAGGCAAAAAAGGTGAATAAATTTCCAAAGAAATATTTGTCTTCTTAAGGAGTGTAGTTTCTGCTGTAATTTCACAGATATACTTCATCAGAAGTAAGTGCCATGGTTCATGAGTGGTTTCATTTCACAAAGGAAAAATCTAAATAGCAAATTTGTAGGTAAGAGATGTTTTGTAGGCATGAGAATGATTAAGGAGAACAAGAGGTAGGTGGATGGCACACAAAACACAGAAAGTTCAATCTAACAACTTCCCTTCCAGTAGGACACAGTCTTCCTCCTATGGACAATTTACATTTATGGGACGAAGCCTCAGTTTTTTGGACAGTAACTCTCACTTGAGGATATAGAAGATATATTTTCTTTCACCACAGAAATACTTTTGTACTGATTATGAAAAATTTTCAAGGAATATCTGGCACCCCACTTATAATACTCTTTTCAATGGAAGATAGTAACAATCACCAAGTGAAAAGACAGCAGAACCTAACCTTGCATTTCTTGAAATCCTTTTCCTCTCATAGTACTCCCACTGATAGGACCTGAAATTAAGTGTAGACAAAAGTCCCAGAACCCAGAGGAGCTAAAGTTCTAGCGGGAAAATGATAAAATGTAATTTAAAAAACTGTTTTAAGATACACTTTCAGCTAGCAGAACTCTCATCAAGGTCAATTGGAATTTTGTCTTCTGAAGGAGTACAGATTAGGCCTCCATGGGATCTGATATTTGATTGATGTTACATCAAAATGGCTTTCCTGCTGCTAGGAAGTAAACTGAAAAATGAAAGAGATATACCTACCAAATGTAGTGAATATGAGATCAGAGATTTTCAAAATTTGTCATGAGTTCTATTTTATTTTTAAAATCTGAATTAATAACTATACTATTAAATTTATTTCTAAAAAGAAACCTTTCAGCAGTTTTGAGAGTCTCTTACTTTTAATGATAAGCCTTTTTTGAGGCCTAATGTACACAACTAGAATTGGAGTGATGATAGTTTGAACTGATCTTAAAGTTGTTTTGATTGTATGAGACAGCAACAGCTCTTGTCCCCTGCCTGCTGAGACTTTTCACATTTTTTAATTCCCTTGTTCTGCAATTAAATGTAATTATTGCAATGTTAATCTATTTGATTTTAAGTTTTATTAATTAAATATTCTTCAAAAACAGGAATACATTAACAACTCTGGAGACTAAAGGCTACAAAAGCCCTACTATATGATCCCAAAAGATTATTCCTACTCTGTTGGCTATGCTCCCAAATTACACTAAGGCTCTCTCCTTATAAGTATCTCCAGATATCTAAGCATATGTTCAGAAAGGGCCCAACTAACCAGAGATGCTGCATGCAGATGCATTTTTCTACAACAAACCTACACATAATTCCCAGGTCTGAAAAGTGCAAATACATTCATGTGTGATAAAATTAAATAATATTTGTAAAATACTCTGTAAACTCTAAAGCTGATATAAATGGTGACTGTTGGTCAGTCAAGCAGCATACATTAAGTACCTACTATGTGCCAGCTACTGTGCTAAGTGTTATCATTACTGATTATAATGCCTGACTCGGGCCCTCCTTTACTTCTCCCAGAATCCAAATCACATCCTTGACTTTCAGATCCCTCCAGTCTACTTCCATTCAACACAAGGGTAGCTAGGTGGCAGCATAGATGACATATTCAGCCTGGAGTCAGAAGACCCTTCTGGAGTTCAAATCTGGCCTCAGGCACTTACTACACGTGTGATCTTGGGCAAATTACTTAACCCTCTTGGCCTCAGTTTCCTCCTCTGTAAGATGAGCTGGAAAAGGAAATGGCAAGATTGCTCCAGTATCTTTGCCAAGAAAACTCCAAACGGGGTCACAAAGAGTCAGACACGACTGAACAACAACTGAACAAATTCAACACAAGCCACATGTGCAGGATGCTACCTGCTAAACTGTCTTCATTATGACAAAAGGGTCTAACACTGAAGAATGATCAGATGTTCCTTATCCTTTCTTCCTTCTATGACCCACTCATGACCTGGATCCTGGTGACACATGATTTTTCTTCTTCTGTATGTACCTACCTTTGCTTAAATCCTTCTTTCTGGGAAGTCCTAAAATTTCTTTATTTGCTTCTGGTCTTAACTCCTCTTTCCTTATCCCATGTCCCATAGTGTATCTGATCAGAGCCAGTGGTAAGGTTCATTTTTTTTCTGAAAAATTGGGGTTTTCAGCTAATTAGCAAGGACTACTTACTTTCATCACTAAGATTAAGCTTCTGTAAACAAGCAATTCTCAATCTTTATATACTATTTATCTCTTCTATTTTCTCCTGTTGTCTCACATTAAAGACTCCTGCCCCATGTTGTACGTGTCCGAGATCCTACTCCTCTTTAGAGCACCTTTTAGTATACCAAAGGGGCTTATCCTCTCCTAAAAATAATACTTTGGAATTCTGGACATGTCTGTCTATTCTGCTCTCTACTATGAAAAATTCCTACTGAGCAGCCAATTAATGAAGGTGAGAAATGTTTAGGGATGGAAGGAAAAAGTTGAATTTGGAGACTGAGAGACATTCCCGCCCTCTCCCTTGGTGAGCTGAGTGGGGAATGAAGCTGAATCAATTCTTACAAAGTGTTGAAGAAACCTCAACAAAATATTTACATCATTAAGTATCCAAGCTGTGCTGATATGGGCCAAGGCTATAGGATGAAGGAGAGTGGTAGCCATTATTAACATCATTGGTTAATATTTCTTGTTTAGGAGGTCATTTTGAAGCTATCAAACGGGATCTTCTCTCTCTGGAATCCTAAAATGGAATTGGCATCAGGCAGATTCACAGCAAGTATGACATTGAGCAAGAAAGGCTACCTTATTTCATTTGAAGAAAAGAAATCTAAGGAAGAATTTAATAATAAAATATATTATGAAATATTGTAGAGTGTGAGCAAGACTTTTATTTCTACTAAGGACAGGATATGGAAGGACATTTAGCTGTAATAGAGGGATTTTGATTAGACATGAAAATATTTTCCTGAGATTGCAAAAGCTGTATGACCCCAGTAATGCATAATCAACAGAAAAGATGGGAATGACTTCATTGGCTTGCCACTGCCACTAGGTCAAAATACAAATTCTACAACAAAGCATTTAAAACTCACAACAATCTGGCTCTAGCCTACATTTCAAAACTTATTTCATTTTATTCCCCTTCATGGACTCTGCTTCTGGCTGTTCCCTGACTTAAGCAACCCCACCCCCCTTTCTCTGTGCCTTCACACAGACTGAACTGTGCTCCCTTTCCCCACTCTGCTTTTCAGAATTTTTATCTTCATTCAAAGCTTAGGTCACATGCTATCACTTCCATGAAGTTCTGATCACCACTGTTGTTGCTCTACCCCTCCTCAAATTACCTGGTATTTACCTATCTGTGTACATTATACCCCACCAAAAGAATGCAAGTACTATTTTTCAACACCCCCAGGGTTGAGCAGGGTGGCTTCTACATAGTAGGCATTTAATAAGTATTTCTTGGATTGAATGACTACCAGATATCTTTCGAGGTACATCCAATTAATGTTTTAGTGTATGGGGAAGGACAGGGTTGATACTGAAGGCAGGACAATGGAAGAGTTCACTTAAAAGGTCCTTGTAATTTACTGATCTTATTTACTTCATTAACTGTGACTTCCATTTAAATTCTTTAACCTAAGCTAATTTTTGCAGAGAAGCCTTATTTTAGCCCATCATATGCAGGGGGATATCTTCCCTTCATGAACCACATAAGCACAGATAGGAGGTATAGGTAACCTTGGTTTCTTCAACATCTGACCAAGCCTATTTCAGCCAACTTCATGGCTGTTGAAAAAATTGTTCCCATTTGCCCATTCTGCTAGGGAAAGTCTTCACGTCTTTGGTGCAGATGTTCCCCTAACTCACTGGCAGGTCTGAGGCCTATTGGTTAATCTCATCCTTTTTAGGGGTGCTCATCCACCTTTGGTATTTACTGTAACTCAACTCTCACCTGTGGCTCCAAGAAGCTTTAGTATGCACAGCAGC